CCCCCCCTCTCTAGGGATTAATCGCCCGCACAGAAGGCAATTAACCTACACTCCCCCCTAAGTTATAGCGTCTCTATACACCTTATATAAAGAGTTATTAGGGGTTACACGTGTGTCTAAAACAATCTTACACAGAGAGGTAGATTTAGATCTTCTGCATAATAGGATAAATATAGACTCTCCTTTACTATAATAATAAGCTTTGTACGCAGTGTACATCCTCTCTAACATGCGTAAGCTGCTAAGAGGAAGGTACACACTATAAAAGCAGAATAACTTTAAAGAATAGACAATACACAATTTTAATAACTTTTTTTATATAATTAGGTAAGAACTTCTTCTTGCTCTAGCTAAGCATAGGCACTATTCTAAAAGTAAGTTAAATTATACGCAAGCTAAAAAGCTAGAGGATATTATAAATAAAAAAAGCACTAAAAGTTAGCTCTAAAAAAAGAAGTAAAAAAGTAAAAAAAAAAAAAAAAAAAAAAAGTAAAATTAACATATAAATAAGTAAGTAACTTTATAAAAGTAAAAAGTTGCTAGTGTTTGTACATAAGTACAGCTATGTCTGTACACGCGTATAGCTAAATTAGGTTACCTAAAACATTAGCTATCTAGCCTATGCGTTAGGGGCTATGTGTACTTAAGAGCCCTCTTTCTTTGTACAAAGAGAGAGGGCAGTAGTTAATAACAAGATAATCTTTGCCTGCTCACCTCTTAGTACGCCCCTTGGGCGTACGTTTGTTCGATCGAACCTAGGTCAACCGACACGCTGTGCTAGTGTACGCTGCTGTCTTATATAAAATTAAAAGTTTTAAAGCTTTAAAAAAGGTCTTTATTATTAAAAGTAGCTTAAAAAGTTATAAAAGCTTTTTAGTGTTTATGTAACGCTAATACTATGTTTATAAAGTTATAAAGCTTACTTATAACTTTATGCTAATAGTATAGTTTAAATTAATTCTAAGGAGCAGCTTAGGCTAGCGCTGCTTTAAAAGTGTTTATTCTTTTCCTATATATAACTGCCTTAACTACTAGCTAGATTGTATAACTAGCGCAGCGTATATAGTGCTTAGAGGTAAGGGGCCTTTTAAGATGTTATGTAAGGGCAGAGATAGTTTTATTATTATTATTTAACACATTATTAGCTACTAAATAATATAATTTTAATATAATTTTAAAGTTATTAATAACCTTAATAATTTTTTTAGCTTAGTTTATCTTTATATAGTTACTATATAGGTTGTAAAAGCTAATAAGTATATTACAGTGCTAGTAGTTAACATTTATATTAGTATAAGTAAGCATGTTATTGTTAATTTTTATTATGCTAAGGCGCTAAAATAATAAGCTAAGGTATATATACTAATAAAGTGCAACACTACACCTAGAAAGAAGAGGTAGTTTAGAAAAGTCTATATATTAACACTTAACATAATTTTACTTTAGGCTATTTTTAGTATTATTTAAATCTCTACTCTCTAGCGTAGGCAGGCCTTATTTATGTAGAAAGAAAATGTAGTATTTAAAACTAAAAAAGCTGCAAGAAGATTAGCTTAGTTTTAAGTAAAAATGCTTTAAAGTTCTGCTAATAATGCTGTGTTAAAGAAAATATTATAAAAAATAACTTAATTAATAACTACTACTTATAACACTTCCTCTTACTATATGCTATAAAAGATAATATATAATAAGCTAGTAACTTTATAAGTAGCTTTAAATAGACTTACTAAGATCTTTAGTGTGTTAAGTAAAAGACCTTTTTTAAAAATGTTAATCTTATGTTCTTTTCTAAGGTAGCTTATAATATAAGTGTAACTATTAACTTTTTTTTACCTTTTTATAAACGCCTCTAGCGTGGCACCTCTTATAGAGCTATAGCTTTACTTTAGAGCTGTCTTCCTTATTATTATACACTAAATCTGCTCTATGCTGCTAAATCTAGAAGAGCTGCTAGTTCCTACAGAGCTAGCTTTTATGCTTTACATAATACTTAACTTTTTTAGGCCTTAGCTTCTTATTTGCTAGCTAGAGGTTATCTTACTTTATAGTAAAAGCTACTTTATTATTAAAACTAGTGTTAGCTAAGTACTTCTTTAAATAAGCATTAGACAGTGTACTACTTTAAAATAAAACTAAAGAGAAAAATAATAAGGCTTTTAACCTAGTAAGGTAATAAGAACTAGCATAATAAAATATGTTAGTTTGCTAGAAAAAGCTAGCTCTAAAGAATCCTTAGGATAAAGCAGTACGCCTGCTGCGCTAGAGGAATTAGAATATTTAGCTTATAGTAGGTAGAACAATAGATGTAGATAAATTAATAATAATTTATAAGCTAAAAAGCTAACTATTTACATAAAATAGTACACCTTACTTTTAGCCTTTACTACAAGCGCTAATGTTCTATAAACTTTAGAGTTTTTACTTAATTATTACTTTAAGAATGTAACTTTAAACACGCTTTTAACATAATCCTACATGTGTCTAATTAGGTCCTATTTTAGTAAGAAAAGTTGCCTTTTTAAGACGTACTACAGTCTGTAATGGGCGCTCCTCTAGTCATACGTTACAACTCATATCTCTCCTACGTTTCAACGGCTCACGTGACTGTTACGGGTCGTATACTACGACTCGTAGTACGTACGGTTGGGAACCCTGTACAAGGACGAGGACGGCTTGAAGGTGAAAACTCCAGCAGTTACGGCGTAACTTCTTGTGAGAAGTACAGCTGTAGGAGGATTGTAAGCCGTTACAGTTACGCTACGTAAGAGACTATCAATTCACCTGTAACGTACGTACGTACTAACAAACTGAGAAGTTACGGACTAAAAAAAGCTCAATCGTAACGTATTACGTACTGTTGGAAGCGCTGGCTGACGGTCTGGATGATGGCTTGTGCTTTTAGATAGTCCTCAATATATATCCGAAGACCAGTGTTGCCATGCAAGAACTCATCGATGAGCATCTTCATCGTCAATGCCGAGTCTCGTGTCCACATGTAGAAGTCTGATAATTATCAACTTTCCGTCACGAGTTGTAAGATGACAGGAGCCGAGCACAAGAAGGGAACTGACAATTTGGATTCTCTGTAGAAGTGGATGCAACGATGATGCCTGGGTAGGCTCCAGGTGCCTCGGTTCCATTCGGTCTAATGTTATTGAGCACACCTTGGAGGGCAATCATATTCCTTTTTCTATCTTCAGTTAGGCTGTCCTGACGATGAGCCAATCTTCCTGTCGTAGCTCCATATATTGAACATGCTGCGAAGACAGCAATGAAAGGCCTTGATATCATAATAAATACGCCGTAGTGAGATCACTGGATTGGCAGAGAGGTGAACAGAAGATCAAAGAGCCTCACTAGCCATAGTTTGGGTCACCCTTGAGCCTTTAAGTATTCTGACGATATACATGTATCGTCTCACACCTTCCAAGATCCAAGAAAGGCCTCCCCACACCCGAAGAGGGTCTCTGAAGTAGCATAACCGTTTTTTTTGGGTCACGAGGGGGCTGTAATACTCCGCCAGGACCCATTGGGATTTGGCCTCTGCCCTACACCAGGCTTGCCGCGTCGCCGACGGTGCCATTTGACGCGGCCTGTGATGATGTAGACGACTGATGTTGTTGATGGAAGGTGCTAAGGAGGATCATCCCTTGCAGTATCTTAAGTGTGGAGTGACCTCGGTAAGATGTCGCGGTGGAGGAGTGTAACAAGGCATAGTTGAGTGGAGCCAAGGAGAAATTGATTTTGGCCCAGACCATGTGATGAATTACTAGAGTTATTATAGCTTGGTGCCCCCGGATTTTGATATTACCCCTGCTACTCATCGCGCACGTCAATTCTTGGTTTCAGGTCAGCCAGAACAAGAAGGCACAAAAGCAACCTCATGGTGCAGTGCTTATTAGTGCCTATCGCAGTAGGCATCAAACGGTCCTGCGTCGCTCTATGGTCTTTCCCCATCCATCCATCCTAAAGTGAAAGGAGCAGCAGCGAGAAGTGGGGTAGTGGAGTTGATGCCGTGTCAAATTTATAGGTTTGCTCTTCGTCCCATGTGATAGCTCGCTAAGCTCGGACGAGATTAGTGCCCCAAATCTTTCGATATTACCCCTGGCCATCGACATTCACCACGTGCGGTTGCCAAGCAGCGGCGCCACCTCGTTAAAAACTCCCCGCAGTGTCCCCCTGCAAGCCACCATCCTTCGTTCCTCTTTTTTTTTTTTACTCAACTCGGCCGTTCCCAGCAACGCAACGATCCTACTCCTCCGAGTATTCTCCCGAGCCGTTTGAGCTCCCTCGAACGGGAAGTTGCACGTTCTGCTCAATAATTGCGAAGCCGTTTCGAATCGAACATGCAGCAGTAAAGGTGTGGGATTCGAACTACCAATAGAACAAAAGTATCGGTTCCCTAAACTGACATTCTTCCGCCGTTTTAACTAATGTGACATCAATAGTATATTTACTCGCCGACCAGTTTCACGTAAACCTCACTTCTCCGTCAAGTTCAATTTCCACCAAACAGGATACATGATCCTTCAGATCTTTCGGAAATTTCCTTCAGCGGTCGTCTGCTCCTCACCATTCACTCCAACATTCCAAATCACTATCTCCTCCCCGTTCCAACTCGTTATCTTCACAGTCACTTTATCAGCTCCAAACCCGCCATGATCTTCTTTCTCGAAGAAATTGTACGGCCGTCGCGTTGTTCCTTCCCACGTATTCCCCCAGTCCGTACTCACATCCAGACTTCTCACGCTCACATTTTCATTTAAAACCTGCATCGAGAACCAATACTTTGATCCGCCTTCCTTTGCACGGAGGACGATCGGCGATGAGATCTCGCAAGACACCCAATCCCAACTAACCTGTATTTCACCTGTGTTTGGATCGGCAAGGGCCTTAAAAGCGTCTGGGAAGAGATCGAGATGGTTTGGCCCACAGCCTGGGCACTGATCTACCACCATGGCGGTGATGCTGTTGCCCCAGGGGCCGGTAATGCGGACGCAGGACCCACAAGCTGAAGCTCCGTTCCAGTTCGAATCGGACATAGCGGTCAGGTGCAGGTTTGAGGGCGGGTTATAGGTGCTGAAGCTACACATGCCGCCATGCAGATTGCCGCCATACCAGGTTGCCTTGCCTGAATAACTTTGTGGACCTATATATGTTAATATGTCAGTGAAGCTGATCACCAGTTGAGAGTGAGAGTTTATACCTACCTGCAAGAGCTAGAAGAGGAAGAGCTAGGATGAAGAATTGGGTCGACATATTAAATCTTATTGGGATACTTGGGGAAGAGAAGTGGCTGGGTTGAGGAAGGTAAAGAAGGTTGAGGTCTACCTTCTTATATCTAGACTTTGCGCTGGCGTGGGCGTGCTACTGTTGTGGGGGGTTACATTCGGTCAAGTACTCGGTACCGCGACCTCCCTCAATAAACTGCATTTATGTGCCACCGGTGGCCCTCACAGGGAAAAATCAGCTATAGTTGGATGGAACTCAGGTCCTGTTTAAGTGTCATTGGGTCTGCTATTCGCTGTATGGAACTCACCGAGAGGGTTCAAACAATTCTAGTCGTGGTTTGTTTGACGAAAGACCGATATCCTGGGAGAGCTCGAATGACAATGTCGGGCATTACCATTCTAGTCAGTCGCACAGCCTAGAGGATAGCCCGATCAAACCGCATGGAGTATGCGAATAGAGAACCGAAAGGCAAAAGAATCAAGGCTAGAGTCCATTACTAACTTCACCTGGCTACCAGGCAATGGACCATTTCATTCGAGTAAGCTAAATACAAGAAGACAGTAACCATCGCACCTTGAACGTGAGCACTTTTCCTTTATGTCCACACCAGACTCTCCTAGTACCTCTCGTATTTGAGGCGACACGCTTATCGGGTGGTGTAGCCACCGTCGATGATGAGATCGGAACCCTAAGGATTCGTCAGTTTCGGATGCCACGTCAGTGACCGATTGAACTCACAGTAGTGTAGGAAGAAGCATCAGAGGCGAAATAGACGTAGGCACCCTTGAGCTCCTTGGCCTTAGCGTCACGGCCCATGGGAATCATGGAGTGCCAGAGTTCCTGAATGTCCTTGGGAACGAAGTCGGAGAGACCAGTGTCAATGTATCCAGGTGAGATGGAGTTGACACGAGCAAAGTCTCTCCATTCATTAGCAAGCGAGCGGGCGAGGTGGATGCAGCCAGCCTTGGCGACGTTGTATGAGGTCTGCTCCTGGGGGTAGTTGGCAATGTGGCCAGACATGGAAGCGGTGATGATGAGGGATCCGGTCTTGCGCTCGCGGAAGTGGAGACCAACAGCACGGGCGCAGTTGTAGGTACCGGTCAAATCGGTCTCGACGACCTCGTTCCATTGCTCAACGGTAGCGTCGAGAATGCCGTTGTCGGCAGTTTTACCCGCGTTGGCAATGAAGACGTCAATCTTGCCAAAGTCCGCGATGACATCGTTGACGAGCTTCTCGACATTGGCGTAGTCGCCAACACTGCACTTGTAGGGCTTGACTTTGACGCCGTACTTCTCGCTGAGCTCTTTGGCATTCTTCTCCGCACCGGCCGAGCGCGAGTTGTAGGTGATAGCGAGATCTGCTCCGAACTCAGCGCAGCCACGAGCGGCCTCGATACCGATACCGGTTGGGCCGGAGGCACCAGTGACGACAACGACCTTTCCCTTAAGGCTAAAGAGGTCCTTAAGCTCCTCGGCTTGCGGGATGGGGGTAGGCATGCTGATGAATTGACGAGTGACGTGGTGAGAGAGAACTATTCTAAGGTGAAGATGGACAGAGGAATTTGTGACTGAGAAAGATGGAAGACAAATAGATGGGCGAAGGAGGGGTAGAAGTAGTTCACGAAAAGGTTGAGAAGGCACCTTGCTTTTGGCTAGCTGGGGGTTGAGGACCCGGTGACGTGGGTGCTCTTCCTTATGCGATTTCACGTCATAAGGGCCGTCTCAGATGCCTCCATGGTCTTGATTCGCCCTAATTGGAGAATGGTGGGCTAAGGGATGGGTTTGCCTGCGCCACTAAACTCGATAAGGGGTGGTGTGTGGGTTGATGAGGTGAATGCATGTTTCTTTGCCCCGCCTGCCACGGAGCTCTCTCGTATCGATAAGCGTCTTCTCTAGTGCACAGACGCCTACCGAACCCGAGCGCCCCTGCACGTGTGCGACATCCCACTCCTCCACGCGTGAATTTCTCTCTCCACCAAGAAAACATCGCGGCTCCGTCTCCAGCATCCAATTTCTCTCCAACTTTGATCACAAGGAGCGCGAAGTTTTTGCGCTGCCCAAAGCTTCGGAATTTCAATGTTCTCTGTCCTTTTTCACCGGAACCGCCACGCCCAAGCCATGGATTAATTGTGCATTCTGCGGCCTGCACAGTCAGCGATTGCGATCATGACAGAACTCACACCATCACCTCTTCGCTCGTGTACAGAATGGATATGCACTCATTTTGCCACTTCCCCTCTTTAGGGTGCAATGTTTGTGCCACATATAACCCCACTGTCCCTCTAACATTCCCTCTAGAAGCAGCCTATATGGACTTTGACTAACGCTTGACAAAGATTGTACATAACATTGTGTCCTTGAGAGGCTAAGACTCTGCCATTGATCCTGCCTCGTTTGAGAAAGTAATAGGTGTCAAGTTAATATCGAGCACGCAAAACATTTACTCAATCCTCACCATCTCCGGTACCTCAGTTTTCCACTTGAGATTGGGCATGAGGCACGTTATCGTTATCGTTATCGTTATCGCCTATTTTGAAGAAATCGCATCCACGGCTCTCTGTCGCAGAAGTGGACAACATGAACCGTAAGCTCCGCAGTGTTCGGTTGGCCAACTGAGCCATTGACGCCTTCTTGTCAACTCTCAGTGAATGCTGGTGGCTGTAAGGGCTCGGGTCTAGAGCCATCCAGCGTCAAAAGATAACTCGTAAAAGATACTAAGTTTCGCGAGTATACCGAGTCTGCTTCACTCGGGGTAGAGGAATGCGAATCGAGAGGAGGAAGGAGAGGAGGAAATGCAAATTCATCGAACTGTGATGACAAACGATCATCATCCAGGCACGCCTTTAAGCCTCAACACGCTCAACCAATTGATGCATGCTTTTCCCGTTTCTGACGTTCTATGCCGTCAATCGGAAATAATATCCTCGGAGGCGAGGCTGCAGGACCAGCCGCACGGCCTTATGGCCTTCGTGCAACACCGAGCTCAACATTTCTCGACAAAGCAATATGCTCAGCGAGTACCGCTTTTTTTTTGACATTCTCCGGCATCGAGTTCTCCTCCAATGCCCAGCTCGCGGACAGAAACGTGAAGGCCAAGCCAATATAATCACTAGTCCCAATTAAATTAAGCTTGTTCCAGGGTCCAGGGCGCTGATTCGTTCATGCGAGACACCTCAGCTGTGAAGATCGCACTATCATCACCTTTCTTCGACCTACACCTCCCTACAGCCAAACACATAGGGCTGAAATCCCGAACACCTCTCATTGTCGTTTGTTCTTGTCCTATTACTCAATCGAAATCCACAAATCATTGCAGGATTGCCCAAAATGGTGCTCCACGGCCTCCTCCCAAAACCGCTCCCCGCAGACGAAGTCACAGTGGGCCAGCTACTTGTACACCCCCTGCACCCCGAGAAAGACGGCTTCTATTCCGAGCAAGCACATGCCGAGATCGACGACCTCAATGACTACCATATTCAGCTCCGGTACAAAGACCTTTTTTCCGTTGACGCGGAGGGTCGCTTCATGACCAACTACGGCGCGAAATTCGACCTGGGGAGGATATACAGACAGCCGAATTTGTTGAGGGTCAGCGCTGAGCAGATGATTCAGCGTACTAGCATGCAGCCGGCACGGGCTTTCGAGGCGGTTTGCGAGGACCCAGAGGCCAGGGCATGGATACTGAATCTGCCAGGAGACAACAAGGAGTTCTACATCGTCGTGGGCGTGACGGAGCTCAAGAACGCCGTGTTTAGACGAGCAAAGTTGCAAGATGCCGGGGCCTCAAACCGGTTGAATGAGTTGCCCATCGAGAAGGGCGCCAAGGTCCCCCGAGCTGTCCGTCGTGACTCGACGCTGGGACTGGGGACTGAAGCTCATGTCTCAGCTGTATTCGGAATGGACGTTCGACGAGTCTCGGCACGTATCACCCGCCCGGAGGAGCCCCATACTCTTTCTGACCTAGGATTTCGGTGGTATTATCATGATATTCCCGGAAGTGAGCACAAGGAGCAACTGATGATTGGATTGGGCGGGGCGCTAAAGGCTAATGAGCTTCGTCTGATGCTCGACCTGAGCGAGGAAGATGTCCAGGCCAATCTAGATACCATCAGCCAGCTCAGCCTGGACGCTCTCAGCGCCGCTGCGAGTCCGATGCTGAGGCCAAGCTCTCCGGCTCTGAGAGGACGATCACCGTCTCCACACCCGACCCTACGAGTTTGAGTCCATTCAGTGGCTGGGCTTTTTCACCATTGGTGTTGTTCGTGGGAGATTGACATGGGAAATCTTGGAGGACTGTGTGCATCATTGGCATCAATAGACCCTTGGAGCTTTTCTATCTGCTACGACTCTTTCACGGCCTGCTTTTTATCTTATTCAGATTACAAAACCATTCTATACCCCTCTCTCCCCTCTTGATTTATTCAGGTATCATTGCTATAATTCATGTGGAGAATGGAATCTGTTATCATTGTCAATATCAACATATTTTAAAGCCTCCTCTGTATCCCGCGAGGCGCACAAAACACTCAAGGCCTAAAAATCCAGGATAATGTGCCAACATTCAAGGGCCGCGCTCGCTAAATGCATGAGAGGTTCCAACAAGAAGTGGTATACAACAACAAAATACTCAGTCGCTCGCTCATCCCCCAACCCTTTCCACTCTCAATCTATATACCATCTCAATTCCAACATCAAGCATTCAGCGGCTTCCGGCCATATACGAATACCCTGCAAACCCGTCAGCAAACTCCCCTCAAACCGCATCCCATCCCATCTCGTCCCAGTACAACACTTACACAGTCTCATAAAGATACAACCTCCTCGCCCCCATAGCAGGCAACAACTCTGCCACAAACGCCCTCACCCTTTCCTCGCTCCAGCCCAAAAACTTCGTAAACAGTTTCATACAAATCGGCTCCACGGCATGCGTCAAATCCTCATAAAAATACACCCCCAATTTCTTCATCTTGTCTCCCTTTGCCCACGGCCCACACGGCCAATTATACCGCTTCTCGACAATGTCAACGAAGCCGAGGTCCGCCATCCAGCGGGAATAGTGCTGCACGTTGTCCCACAAACGGCCGGAGATGCGGGATGCCTGCTCGCAGTATTCTAGCCATTTGCGCACGGGGTTTTCAGGCCCAGGTTGAGGATCAAGGAAGCGGAACGGGAAGAAACCATCCTGGAGCTCTAGGTACCCTCCGGGTTCGAGACTGTCGTACGCCTTTCGAATCATTTCTCGAGGGTCGGTGAAACAGCTCATCAGCGCCCGACCATGGATGTAGTCAAACTGCTGCGAGAAATTCCACTCATCTTCCGCGTCGGCGATTTCAAAAGAGCAGTTTAGGGGCACGTAGGAAGGTTGGATGGGGGAGAGATCGGTGCCGAGAACCTGCGCGGATGGGAATTGTTCTGCGAAGTCCATGGCCCAAATGCCGGTGCCAGTGGCGATATCGAGGACAGAACGGGGGGAGGTGAGCGGCGCGGTTGAAAGGCGACCGTCGACAGTCTGGAGGAAGAGCATGTGTTGTAGGTCGAGACGGTCACGCTCTTTCTTGGGGGTGTTAGTACTGTAGGGGATGGGAACAGGGTTGAAGGAGTTTGTCCAGCTATAGTCTAGTGGGATTTGAGAAGGTAGGTAAGAGAATCCCATCTTAGCTCTACGCTTACACTCCACTATTGGGAGGTTGATTGAGGATGAAGGCACGTGACTGACGTACCTCATCATTCGGCATGATATATTCTAGAACCCTCTAATTAGCAACCCTTAATTTCTCTAAGCAAACTAAATAAACGAAATCGACATACTGCCGGCTTTAAACCCATGATAAGTCCTTCCAAACTCCTCCACTAGCGCATAAACCTCACTTCTCGCACTCGTCGTACTCGACCTACAAGTCCCGGCAACCAACAATCAGCATCAGCATCACCATCCCTAAAGTTTAAACCCCTAGAAAATCATTTGGCAGGTATTGTCTGCATGTAGTGTAGGGTCTGGAATAGAGGGAGGTATAACACTTACGCATAACTCACGCCACCAATCGCAGAATCCGTATCGCCACTGTCCTATATTAAACAGTCAGCATCTCTCTGTGGGTGCCGCATTGTGTTCTGCTCTGCCGGGCAAGGGTTCAGGGCTCATGGGACGGGAGGGACCCGGGGCTATGGCGCACGACTCACATCGCTTTCTGGAATCAGGGCGTCAGCGTCCCCTTCGAAGGCAACGTAATTGGATGTTGTGTGCGGGTCTGTTTTCTCCGCCATTGTGGAACGATACTTTAGAGATGGGATTATGAGCAGAGGGATTGCGAGGGAATTAAGTGTTCAGGTGATGGGGATTTGCCCCTCCATTGCAATGGGTGGGTTGATGGGATGGGATAAGTGGATCGTCTGTGCGCAAGCCACAGAGCGTGGGTATCTAAATGGGACATGGAAACTTGCTGGGTAGCTCTCTTCAACTTGTCTTGCTTTCTAAAAGTCCACATAGTGTGACTGATAGCTCGCACGTTTCCTTGAGACTTCGGGTTTTATGACTGACCTACGAGAATGATTTAACCTCCGTTAAAAAGGCTTCGCTAGTGGCCAGTCCATTCCGGTCGGCCGCTCTCTTCGACAATTCCCGACCTCCTAGTCCAAAGTCGCAAATATTCATATATTCTATGCTACGTTCACAGAAAAAAGGATGCGCCTCGCGATGACAGTTAAACCATAACAGTACCCTGACGGAGACCGGGACAAACGAAAGATCTGATGATTAGAATAAATACGCCAAAGACCATCCGAGGTCAAAATGCTAAATATTGAATAGACCTCTATGTGTTTCGTCTCCAACCATCTTATAGTCACATACCCCTTGTCAAACACGTTCCACCGTCCTCAAACCACTTAAAGCACCAACGACATTCCAAACATAACACTCCCAGCAATCATGCCCACGAACTGAAACGGGATGTGCACACCAAAGCTTGCTGCACTTTCACCACCCGTGTTGTTGGCAGCCTGACCATCAGGAGTGCGAGTTGGAATTCCAGATCCGGGAGTAGCAGTAGACATGCTGGCTTCGCCAGCAAAGTGGCTTCCGTCACCCTCAAGCCCAGGTCCATCGCCAGCACCCTTGTTCATAAACTGTTTAGCATTTTCTGGAATCGTGGGCAAGAGAGAGGACTCCACCTCCCATTCGTCATCTGGAGGCGGGCATTGCGACGGTGAGCCATTTTCGTTGAAGCCACCAGTACCGGACGGGTTCTTGGTCTTCTTGTAAGCTTCGGCAAGGCGCTCAAAGTCCTCATTAGGCTCGATGTTGCCATTGGGGGTGACTTCGACAAGACCATAACCATTGGGCTCGACAGTGTACTCGTATACCAAGCCTCCGGAGTATACGCCGGTCATATTATTCGAGTACAAGGCAGCAATCTCACCCCACTCACGTGTGTTGGTGATGCAGCCGAACTCGGATAGGAAGAGAGGGATGCTGTAGTCCTTGTACGTTTCTACTTTTTTGTCCCAGCCCGATTGGGTGAATGAAGATGGGTCACACCAGGAGTAGTCGTTGAAGGCGAAGAAGTCAGCACGCTCGTCTTCGGTGCCGCAGTTGAAGAACAGCGCTTGTTGCTTGATGTTCTCGGCGACATCGGCAGCAGAGTACCCCACGGGGATTTGGCGAGATGCATGGTTCGAAATGTATTGCTTCATATCGCGGGTCACGGCCTTGATGTAGGTAGCCGCAACAGTATTGTTCTTTGCATTGATGACCTCATTACCAGAGAAGAACAGGAGCAGGTTGTTGTATCCAGCAAAAGCGTCGACGGTTGCAAAGACAGATTGTAGGTAGACATCGTTGTAGGAACGGTGGAGTGTCTGTTCGGTCTCACGGTTCAGAGAGTACTTCGGGGTGTTGGCATCTAGTGCTAAGTATATCCCGGCGTCGTCAAGCAACTTCATTCCCTCGTCATGGTCCTGTGAGTTATCGATTGTGTATACCCGAATGGTGTTGATTCCAAGCTTCTTGAAATTCTCAATATCGCGCTTCAAGCTCTTAATGTCAAGGAGAGGATCAGCAGCATCCGCAGCACCACCTTTAAAAATTAGTATAAGGTTAAAGAGGGAGTACAATGTGCTGCATACCGGGCTGATAGGCAACACCTCGAATATAAAATCGTTCCTCGCCTGCAAAGAAGGCATTTCCTCTTACCGTCACGGGTGTAAGGTTCCCTGATTTTCGCGGAACGACCATAGCGAATGCTGGAGCTACATAAGCTCCTAAAACGAAAAGCGCGGCAAAGGATTTCATGGCGAGGATCCCGAAAGTAAAAGATATTAAAATAAAGAAGTAAAAAATGGAAGATATGTTTCAACGAGTGACTGGTAAAGATAGAGCGAAAGGTTCAAACAGCGACATTGAGCATAGAAAGCAGGATCAGAGCCTCCTGGTATATGAGAGAGTTGCACTCCCGAGTCTAAATTTCTTAGTTTCGCACTGCCCCCTTAAGTGGAGCAGGCAAGAAATGCCAATTCTCTCACATGTCTGGTGTTATCATGTTGCCAAGAAGATGTGCGTTGGCGTCTCTCAGCGAAGCGGAGCGGAAGTGAGAAGCCAAGCCGCCAAGCGCGCATAGGGGAATTGTGAAGGGCGGTTGGGGATTCCTCTCAGGCTTGGAAAGGGGCAGACTTCCAACTATTGGAGAATTCAGGAATCGGTCATGGAAGCTTTGACTACTCCTTCTGCTTTCCGGCGTCGACACAGCCTCGTTGTGTAGGTCGCTGGATTAGCACATATATCTTTCGGGACCGAGCGGAGATTCCAATGAGGCGTGGTGGTAGAGTCGAACACAACAGAAATCTGATCCCTGAAGGGAATGTTAGATTAGATGTTTAACCTTTCAGTGTCGCTTTTTGAGGCGCTGATGAACCAAGTCATGATCGGAACTAATAGTGACGTATACTTTCAGTACTAATGCACTTCATATTACCGAACAGCACTACTTGGGAGGTGCATACCCGAAATAGGGGAGGTATTTGTACTCCTTGTGGTTGCTCTCGCCGCTCACTACAGGCGCAGAGATTGGAGATGGCTGATATTTGGCTGGAGACACGACCGCTGCACTTACTAGAACATGCCACTCCTTCCCAAAATAAGGACTGAAATAGCATCTTTCGGGCTGAACACTAATGAGATGTCTGCTGAAAACTACTGCAATGTTGGGCCAGAGGAACATGGAAGCAAAAATAGACAAAATAATCGAAGGTCCGGTCTCACAAAAGTTCGGCGCTATCTCCCCCGATTTGAACAATGCCACTCAGTGTGCCCTTTTACTGTGTGCCACTTTGACCAGCATCATTGTCTCCAGATGGGGGCTCATTCCATCAAGCAATACGAACAATACTCGATTGTTGACCTCAGACACTGCTTAACTTGCTTTAAGTTTTCTGTCTCCAATTCTCCTATCCGACACTTCGGCCCCTCCTTTGGACGCTCTAGAAACGCCTCGATCATCATCCAAGGTTGAACAGCATTCTATGGGACGCGTCGGTCATTACGTCCCAAAGAAACAGCAAATAACTGCTCTAGCCAATGATTCGTTCACAATCACCTCAACGATGCCACAAAGGCCACGTGGGCATGGTTTTTAATATAGGCTCACCGTGTCTAAGTCAGATTTCTCTATCCTCAGCTCTTGATATACCCCTATCACTTAATCTCCAGATATTGAAGCACGGCATCTCGTAGCCAAGATGCTTCGGCTGCTCCTTGTCGGCTTCTCCCTCCTCACTACTACTTACGCGTCTACGTCTCCCGTGCAGGTCCCAATGATGACCTCCAACTTAGAGAAGCAGAAACAAACGCCTCATTTGCCCATTACCACCGGTCGCAATAACCACTACTACATCCCTTCCCCTGAGAACTCCTCGCACCCCATCCTCCTCAAACTCAACACCCTCTCAACCCTCTCCCAGCCACATTGTCCAAGACTGGCAGCTATGCGCATATCCCAGTCCCCCTTTACTCCTGGTTCCCTAACCTTCGCCGCACTACCATCTCCTTCCGACCTCACGTCCGTATTCTGGTTCCAGACGCAGAGGGCAGGGGTGTCTCTCCCCATATCCAGTCTTTCCATCAGCAGCAACGGAAAAGTATTTGAGAAGGCTAAGCTTAGAGCGTATACCGCACGAATCGATCCCTCAACACCCTATATCACGGTCCCCAGGTCAATACACGAAACCCTAGTTTCCGCTACTCGAGCCTACAAAGTATACCATTCAGACAAAAAAATGTATGAATACGTTGTTGACTGTGACGTTCGACCAAAGTGCCCGGTCATCGTGATTGACTTTGGCGGAGATGAAATACAGGTTGGAGCCTACAGGTACGCATTGCAGGCCCCCGACGGTAGTGAGAAGTGCGTTTTGTTGGTGCGGAGCGAAGATGGTGAAGCTGGAAATGGAAGAAGAGGAAGGGAAGTTGTTCTTGGGGGTGCGTTTCTAGTAGGTCGGCTTGTGGTTCTCGATTTTGAATATGGATATACTGGGATTGCGCAGTGGTAATTCAGGAGTATCGAAAGTACTGCATGCGATCCTCAAAGAAAAGCATTCTAGTTGCGAGAAGCGCAGCAAAGGAAATGTGGTCCGTGTCTGCGTGTTACTTCTTAATCCCCACGACAACAAGATTCCTTGGGCTCTGGCTATACTCAAAAACCGGTTCGACCCACGCTTCTTCCACTTCCTTTTGCTCTTTAAGCCATAGCAATCGATCTGTAATAATCACCGCTTCAACCACCCCAGCACTAAAAGCCATCAAACTCCACATCACACTCAACTCCTTTCTCTTTTCCTTGTACTTCTGTTCGTACCCTTTAATATCGTCGTCCGTCAAGCCCTCCATCTTTTCCGCAATAAACTCTGGATCAATCTCACAGAATGAATTAGGAGTCGTAAGTTTTTCAATGGCGGCCCGCACATAAGAGACGAAATCACTGTAAGCAAATTTGCGCAGTGTGCCGATAGTGAGGGGTGTAGTAGACCCGTTAGAGCTAAGGCCTGGTCCTCGGCCATTGGGAGGTGTCCAGGTTACCTTGCTGGTGTGTCCAGAGGCGGAGACGGTGCCGCCAACAATGTCTTCCGGATCCACGGGTGCGGAAACGACACCTCGGTCGAGGAAAATACGTTGAAGGAGCGCACGATAGAAGTGCCGAGTGAAGAAGAGTTCGCTATCGGTAGGGCCCCAATTTTGTGGTGCTTGCACAGCCATCATCCGTGCTGTGATGTTAAGACGGATTCCTTTGGAGCTCTCAGGTGAGGTGTCGACACCGTCCGCGTAGAACATTGGAGTGCGCGGTAACGGGTAGGTTGCTAATCGCTCTGACATTGGAAACCCGTGGGGATCAAAAGCATTGGCTGTAGAAAAAAGACGAGGATGGTTTGGTCTTAAGGTCGGAAGCTTGTACGTTGGAGGACCAAGTCGCTCAGTCACAAGATTATAACAGCACCCCACCATCGCCACGGCAGATATGGAAGGGTTTAGAAGAAGCGACCGCAAACCGTGATGAACAAGATTGCCGCAGGAATGGAGAGAAATCACCATAAGGTTTGGTTCAGCAAGTTTTAGCATGGTGTTGAGATTAGAAGCCTCTTCAACGTCGTTAGATATTGCTTTTACGCTGTTGTCCTCAATCTGGGAGCTATCGAGAATCTGTGAAATAACGGCTCCGAGATCACCATCTCTGATACGGTGTTCGACGTACTGGACACTTCCATGGCCGTCGGTGTAGACTTGGAGCGTAGTTGTGGCTGTCCTGATTTGGCTGGCTTCGGAATTTTCCAGAGTTTGGTCATCTTTCGTTGGTCTATTCTCTGGCGTGACGATTTCTAAACTAGGTTTGGGGAGTGGTAATCCTGTCGGCTTTGGCCCTGGAAATGGCTTACATCCAATTGACTCACAGGGGACGTTTTTCAGACCCAGGTGAACAGCCTCCCCTGCTGACGTCTGTTTGCGGCCATCTAAGTTGCATAAATTGCCCCCTGATTCGAGTCTCTGATGATCAGGTATTGGGGATGGCCCAGATTCGTTCGGCTCCGATTTTGCAGCTTTCTTCTGCTTCTTCAGTCTTGCGCGGTACTCTTTCTTATTCCTCATCACCAATGGTTTTGGAACCAGCTTTGCGAGAACGTCCATATTCTTTGCGCCTTCAATGTTGTGTGATTTGCTTTCCACGGCAATAACATGTTTCGAGTAAGGCGGCGCTGCAAGAGCTCGCCCCAGATAATTTTGCCCAGAGCCGAAATCAATCAGATGTGTGATCTCTTTGTTCCTAGCTGCTGCTACTTCTGAAGTCAGTTGGTCAACATAGCGAGCAAAGTTGTCGACTTCGTGGACTTTCTTGACCTTCATACCAACGGCAATGTGACGAGCTATTTTGCTCTGGCTGGACGAGGGAAGAAAGGACCTTCCCAAGAGGTGCTTGCGCACGTCCTTCAGATATTGCAGTAGATCGTCTGGAGGAGTCACGCCTCCGCGCCATGTTGAATGGTAGCTTTGCTCCTTACCAGCGTCAAACTGGCTTAGATCCTCTCTCATTAATAGGTCCAGGATATCCATTATATCCCGTGCTTTGAACCATGTTCTCCATGACTTAGGGAGTATGGCGGCATAGAGATCCGGCGTTCTCGTGTAGAAATCCAGGATGTGAACCCCTCCACAAAGAGTCTGTAAGAGCCATGACGATGTCGTGAATTCTAGAAGTGAGTTCACATATTCATCAACGCTACCGAATTCAGCTGGAAAAGGAAGAGGGGATTCCGGACCCATGGAGCCCAGATTACCATATATCGATGAGTGCAGTTGACCTGGTTCCCGAAATCGGTAAATCCAATGGCTGGTCAGATATGCGGTGTTTTGATGGAGGTGACCAAAATTTCCATTTAGACTCCAGGTAAATTTGGGAGGTCTGTGCGAGTCACGTGCAGGCTTCGGCATAATCGTGGTTGAACATCTACCAAACTCCGTGACCCGCAACCCTTTTACCCAGCGGCTGCCCCATCATCTTTAATTTCAGGGCGGCTCCGTGTCATCTCGCCCAAAATGATGTCCACATCGAACGATGACGACCCCTTCTTGCAAGTTCAAGCGTGAGAGAGCTCCCCTTCCGGTATCCGGGCGCCTAGCACTGACAAATGTCCCCAGAGACGTTCTCTCTGCGCTCAACACCACCCGGCCCCTGTTTGCGTCGTACCTGCGAATCCGGTCCTCGGCCTCGTCTGCCAGTTCTCCCGAGCTTCGAGAAGCCCGCAGCGAGCTCGAACAGACGCTCCAAGAGCTCAGCCAGGATCTCGAAGATCTCATCGAGAGCGTCAAGGCTGTCGAGCATGACCCGTACCGCTTCGGCCTTGAGATCGACGAAGTAGAGCGTAGAAGGCGACTAGTCAAGGAAGTCGGAGATGAAGTTCAAAACATGCGGAAGGAGCTCCTGCAGACGGTCTACGATGCCCAGAACAAGGGGAAGGCTGCTATGAACGGAGACATGTTGCCCGACCCAGATTCCTTCGACGACCAGGATGAATATGCAGCTTTCGAGCAGGAGCGGCAAGTCGAGTTGATGCACGAGCAAGATGAGGCTCTGGATGGTGTCTTCAAAACCGTGGGAAACCTGCGACAGCAAGCTGATGATATGGGCCGCGAACTAGAAGAGCAAGGGGAACTCCTCGATGATGTCGACAACGTGGCCGATAGGGTTGGCGGAAAGCTCCAGACTGGCCTCAAGAAGGTTGGTTGGGTCATCAAGAAGAACGAAGGTAATTGCACCCGTGGCATCAGTTGCGTGGATATACTAATGTGTAGCTCCAATAGATCGGTGGTCGAGCTGCTGTATTGGGGTACTCATATTTGTTCTGATATTACTACTGGTCCTTCTCCTCATCCTCTAAGCAGTCTGCCACCACTAAGTGATGGCGAAAGACCAATTTGAAAGAGCGACGTCCAGATTGAACCCGAAATTCCAAAGACATTTCGGGATGTCCATCCCCAGATCCGCTCGCACATCAACGATGACGAGGCCCAGAATGCCCATTCTCACGCATTACAACAACCGTTAATGTCCTTCCATTTCAGGGATCTTTCCTCTGGAGACCAATAGGTATCTCTCAGCAGACCCGGAAGAAAATGGATGAAGTTAGGCTCATCTGTGCGCATCGCTTCAGACCCCGTTCCAGTCTCGGAATAATGGTGGTACTGGTGATGCCACAGGGAGAGCCGCTGACACTACCGAGGCTTGGCTCGCCCTGTCGGGATTATTGGTTGTCGAGGGGATATGACAATGCGGCAATGCAGGTACCCCTGGGTAACTTTATTTGCACGTGTTGCAGATGGAACGATAGTCGAGGCATAACCAACACTCAATTTCTCTCGATCGCAGCCTTATGACAAAGTACCAGAGTGCTATTTCTGCGACCGCTAAGTTCATCAATACTCTTTCTTCATTAATAATGCGCGTGTATCACATAGAATTCGGATCCCTCTAGCTTTATCAACATGTTTCCTTTGGTGCTATGCAATAGCGGCCCCCAGTTCTCGAGGGAGGCTTCACGTCCACACATTCCTCGCTCCCACTTTTTACGCAACATTCCTTACTTTCCCACATTTTGCTACGACCACGTTCTCGGGATGCATCTAATACATCCAGTACCGTTAAATCGCTAAACAATTGTTACCACCGTTCCTGAGACGTGGCTGGTCGGAGGTGGGTGTTCAGGCTCAATTCGGACCATCGTTCCATCTTTACTCTCCTAGCTTCGGAAGCTACCTACGTCCGTCGCTCTCTCTCAATTGCAGCTCTATTCCAAAGTCTTGAAGGTCTTTGGTGGTCTATTCATCTTCGCGATGAGCCCTGCCTTCGCCTCTTCTTCGACCTCAACTTCCTTCCTCGCCAACACCAGCACTATCCTGCCATCCCCGCAGCTCACCTCTAGGTGACTGTAGGCCTCGACAATTGATGGCTGGGTCCAACGGCAGCAGTGGTGTAGCTAGCCAGCCATCCAAACCTGAAGCTTCCTTCATCATCATCAAGTTCAAGAAGCTTCCACGCCGACAACTGACGCTACTTGCCATTACTATCTGTCTCAACGTGCTGCTCTGGAGTTCACTTTTTACATTCATTACTACAATTTACTTGATCAGCGCGGACCCAGGAGACTCTACAAACATCCCATCGGAGGTTCTCACGCTTGCTTCTGTAAGCACCCTGCACCTTGCTATCACACACCTTGGCTGATCTAAGCTAGTCCCTTGTATCCATAGGCTATATCCTCCTCCACACTATCTTTTCTCTCAAGCAGAGAATATGGAAGCACCAAAGACGTCATCCATCTATCATCAAGAAAACTTCGTATTTTGCCATCCGCCTTGCTGTCACATTATGTATCCTATGGCTCTTGACTTCTGGCTGGAATTTAATCACCGTCGCACGTCGACCTGTCTGCTTGCCTGGTGGTCGTAGCCTTCCGGGCTGGGAAGCTGGGACAGCGTGCGTTGTTGGACGTACAGGCATGGCATTTTCGATGATAGCGCTGTATGTGCAATGAGGTCTTCACTTCATCGCCAACTAACTCAGCTTATAGGGTTGCTTCATGTGCCCTCTTCGGCATGCTCGCTGTCGTGCGGCGTCCCTTTGAAGCACATGTCCTTAAGCATGGATACCGACCACCAAAAAAGCACCAACGTACACCGGCGATGTCACGGAGACCGTCTCCTACACGTAGTGCTTCCTTCATCTCTGACAAATTCCGGAGCCGGGTCTCTGTGTCGACACACAGGAGTACTCCTTCGAATAACTCCAACGTGGATGTTGATACTCTAGATTTGGCCTCTAATTCCCCTCCATCCACGATTCATGCACCCTCGCCAATTCGGGCCATAGGTCTGAGTATCTTCACCTCCCAGGCTCAGCCTCCGCCTCTCCCTCCCGCCTTCATACCTCGACGCTCGAGTTCAATAGAGACTCCACCCATATTCTACCCTTCTGCATCATACAACCATCTACCACCTCCTCCCCGTATGAGCTCACTTATTGCACCATCAGGATTTGTCCCGCTGTCCGTTCCAGCCCAATACTCAGCGTCGGCATGGCGCGCCGTACACCCCAACATGCCTTCTCCTTTAGTGTCTGCGGCAACACGCTCTCATCCGCACCTGCCTCATACACAGCAAGGGCATAATTTCTCCTATCGAAACCGCTATTCTCGATCTTCAGTCTCGCTCACACGTCCTCATCGTCTAAGTTCTGCCACACCATCAGGTAGTGTAGCTTGGAGCTCAAGGAGTGGTTCCACAGGACCTGATGAGGGTCGAGGCAGTCCTGCATCCGGAACTACGAGCACGCATGATAGAGCTACTGCGAACGCGATAGCATATGCAATTCTGAACGGTACTCCAGTTCCTGGAACACGTTCAAAGAAACACCACAGGTCCAACCATGTACGACGCGCTAGCGCGCCGGATGCAACACCGGACGCTCAGTATGGTCGGAAAGCGAAAGGCTGGAAACCGCGACTCCAAGGTCAGGAGGAGACCATCGAAGGTCAACCTTCAAAGATCATCAGGTCTTCGTCTGCAGACCTGCTGAGCAAGTTCAGTCCAGATAGCAGCCCCGATGGCACTGAAGTCAGCATTGGAAAAGAGCTCGAGAGAGAGTTGGATCTAAGGTTAAGTTTTTCAGGGGGTCTGCCCTTCCGCAAAACCAGGTCTGCGAGCCCTCTGCGTCATTCTGACATGCCAACCGGAGCAGCCAATGTTGGCAGGTCAACTACCGTTGTCAGTAGATTGCCTCAAGATCCAGTGATTCTGAAAGCTGGTGAAAACATGACTGCTGGAAAACCAGAAAAGAGGAGGATGACGTTCGACGAACTGAAGAACAAGCCGCTCCCAAAGATCGCGGCTCTGTAATATCCCTGCATATTTCATTTATCTGCCACGACACGATAATGCTACAACGCCTAGCAGGATTTTCTTTTGTTTGAGTAGGTAAACGATCGAATCAGATCAGATCAGGTACTGTCATTTACGCAGGTCATAAATGGCCGCGTCATCGATAAAGCATAACTTCGCTGAAGTATTAGATAGATTCCGACCTATAACAGGTTTCCTTTGTATACTAGGTGGCGGCTGTTTTAGTTTGAAGTGTATGAATAGTTAGAATGTATTACAGTACTTTGCAAAACCTCCTTCACCCTTTCAGCACGCTGTTGTTCTTTCGCCCCCTATCGTGCAAGGGCCTTCTTGCAGTCCTCTCGACCAATCACTGTTCCTCAGCGCTTAACGCTCTAAATTTGGATGCTCCGTTCGACCGCTTTTGCAAATACTACATCAATATATCTCAATACAGGGGAGTTCATTACGCATGACTATTCTACTTCCCTACTCTCTTCAGCCACAATCACTAGCCTAGACATATGTAAGAGCAGCTATTAATTAGGACTTTAGTACGTTATTTCTATCTTCTCAAAGTAGTCTCTGTTAGTCCTAATTGCTAATGAGATACCAAAGAAAAAGGGAAGAAAGAAAGTCAGAGGCCCAGCGCCAGGATAAGAAAAGCTAATCCGAAGAGGTTATCTTCCCCTAGTTTTCTCGAGTTGAGATAGTTGTCAGCCACTGCGACAACGGAAAATCCGAAGTATCATACCCTCTTCTAGGTACGGCAAGGAATGGGTGCGCCTGGCAGTTCTCAGCCGTTTCCCGAGACACTCGTCCATCGATTTCATACTCTTCATAACAGACGCCGCAGAGATCGACATCAATGCAAGCCTTACACACAAATCGTTGCATACCTGCATGGAGCGGCCTGTTGCAGCCATCGCAGACGGTTCCACCCTGTTCTAGATTTGACTCAGCAACACGAAATTGATGCTGGAATGCGATAACTGCGTCGTCCTCCTTCCCAGTCCATATCAACACTCGGCCAAGAAGACTAAGGAAGGACGGCCAAACCGCGTTGAACTTCTCGCAGAGGTTGGAGAGGGAAGTAATCATATCCCTAGCTTGTATTTTATAGTTCAGACTGATTTGTCGCGGAGTCCGCTCTTGTCGCAAAGTCATGAAATGGTGGAGATAGACCTGGTATAGGCCGCTGATAGCACCTATGGGGGGGGTGGACCCTTGGTCCGGAGCTTGTTCGTGTTGCTCTAGCGTCTGATTAAACACCCTTTCAGCATCGTCCCATTTACCTTGGCGAAGGTAAATTTGACCTAAGCTAGAAAGAAGGTCACGACAAATCGTGTCTTCCGGAGAGGGTATGGGGACGTCCTCAGAGCACTCTAGTGCTCTATAGTACATCTGCTCTGCCTTGTCTAGCTTGTCCTGGTGCGCGTAAAGGTCGGCGATAAGCTTTGTGAGGAGAATAGTGGACGCATGACAAGAGCCAAAAGTTTGCTCAAAGTCAGAGATCGTCTGCTGGCATAGCTCGTCTTTGCTTTCCTGGGAAGCTTCCTGCAACAGTTCGGCAAATCGTTCAATGGAGCGTCGCGTGAGATTAGCGCATATAATCTTTGAGTGTTGATGATTATCGCCGAAGAGTGCGATTATCTTC